CACGGAGCTTCCTTCCTCTATGTAGCATAACGAGGGCTCTGGCTGCAAGGACACGCCATCTCCAAAGCAAGTCTATGGCTTACGTGGTGCCTGCTTGCAAGCCCATCTCCACCTTAGTGTGGTGTGAGGCTTGGAGAGCCCTCCCCAATGTGGACAAAAGTCCTGTAACTCCATCTGTTTCTATCCCTGATCCTGTTTCCACCTGGAAAATGTCAACTTTGTAATCAGAGGCAGAGCAGGAAAAAAAGATGCATGATGTCTTGATATAGACATCTGTATGATCAGAGACTCATTTAGAAAGGGTTTAACTTTTACCTGTCAATGCCCTATTTAATAAAGAGCTATGCTTAACAATGCTGGCTCTTTGCAAACTTGCCTCCATCTGTTGTTCTTGCCTCCTTGCAGTCTACCATTATCAGATGAAAATGCATGTCTTCAGCTACAAAACCTTGGGAGCAGCTGATCCCACCTTCTCAGTCACCCTTCATGGCACTAATGGAGACTCTGAACCCCTCTCTTTAGAAATGTAAGTAAACTGACCTATTATGCTCCCTTAAGAAAATAACTGGGACTAGACAAGTGCAAGGCAACCCAAGTCATTGACACTAACAGCCTCACTTTATTGTAATTCAAAAACTTTTTGTCAAATAACTTATAATGTCTTTCTGTGAAAGGAAACAGGTCCTCTACACATCAGCCTTCATGGCTCATTGTTGAAGTTTTATCATTCCTCCCCCATTTGGGTATGGTCTGAAAGTACCTCTATCTCTGGAGGGAGGTGTGGCTGTCTTTTTACCCTGTCCCAGAAGAAATAAGGTCTGAAATTCACCTTTAAACTATGGAAGGCTGTCTGAGTCAAGTAATTAATGCCTCCTATTAAAAAAGTGAGTTTTGATAGCTGGTTTAAAGCTATTCAGTAATTAACTGTTGACAGTTAAACAAAAAGCACTTGATAAGCTGCAAAAGGCTATCTCTAAAGCCTTGTGAATGACAGCCCTCCTGGCACTCTTCCATAAGGAAGAAAGGTTGAGCCTCTGCTTATCTTCCAGGCTTGAGCAAATTGGCCTTAATGCCACCAACACCTTCCTGGTCTACACTGAAGAGGACATGGGTGAGCTCCTAAAAATAAAGCTCACCTGGGAGGGAACTTCTCAGTCTTGGTACGATCTGTGGAAAGAGCTCAAGAGTTACTGGTATCGGCCTGCAAAGTCAACCCAGGAACTGCACATCAGACGTATACGGGTGAAGTCTGGGGAAACGCAGCAGAGGTAAGTGGCTGTGCTAAGATGTGGGTGAAGCTTCAGCAGGGAGCTATGTTCAGAATTCAACAAGAAAAGTGCTGTTGGGGTTTTGACCTTGCTTGGTGGCATGAACAGTCTTTCATATTCAGCGTTATCCCTGCCATTATGGGGCAGGAGCATGGGTTACATGAGAAGTTTCAATATGAGGTTATAGAATAGAAATAGAAATCTAGCTTTGCTTAAAACTCACATCTGACATGCTCTGTTTTATTTAAATATGATAACACTCTTGCCCATACAGATTGAATTCTTCTGTTTTAAGACGATATAGAGGCTACCTGAAGAGTTAAAATAACAAGTGCCAAGAATAAATACTAAAGCACATGCTAGCATGGCTATTTTTGTTACATGTGTCATTGCATTGACTTGGCAGAATGAGCTGGATCAATAAACTGCGCAAGCAGCAACATGGTAGTACGAACAACTCAAATGCTATGTTGCTCCTTCTGAGATATCCAACAGCTGAGCAAGGTGAGGTTGCTCATTGGCAACCAACAAGTAGAGGCCTCGTGTAAGAGAGTCTACACCCATTTTTCTGAAATCCGTGAAACACAAGGGAAGTAGAAGTAAAGGTTCCCATGTAAAACATGACACCAAGAAAGAAAATGTTGCAACAGCTACTCAGCACAGTAGCCGTGTGTCAAGATACTTCCTGCAGAAGTGTCAAACAATACAACTCATCCTAGAATGAACATAGCATATGGATTACAACTGCTATTCATGCAGACAAGAGGTAACTTTCTCGAACTGTTTCTTCCTCTAGGTTTGCTTTCTGTGTGGAGGATTCCCAGCTGACCAGAATATCTCCTGGTAAAGAACTCTGGTTTGTGAAATGTGCAAATGACTGGCAAAAAAGGTAGGGGAAAACTAGCCTGGAGAAATCCTGTCTGGTGCATGAGTAGAGCCTTTAGATTATTAACCTCCCTTTTATTTATTTATTTTTTTTTCCTCCTTCCCTAACAAAAGTGGATAAATGCAAACCTAATTCCCAGCAGTTAGATTTAATGAAAGACTTAATACATGCATGAGAATTAACTAGCAATAGATAATTAGACACTGCTCATTTCTGGTCTCAGTTTGACTCCTTGTGTCTTTTGGTGCTACCCCAACTCAAGATTCTTGCAAGAGGGGAAAGATAGTTGGAGGCCCCTCAGCAGGGCGTGCTAGTCCTGTTTGCCTCTGGGATGCTCTTCCAGACACCTAGCATCAGTCCTTAAATTTTGAGGCTGGCCCCAGCATGGGCAGATTGTTTGCTTCAACATGCCCTGAACAATGCTTCAGATGTGTCCTTGTTGTTTTGGCTGGATGGCAGTTGCCTTCAGACTAGTCCCAGCTTCTTGGCCTCTCTTAAATCTCAGTTTGTGTACTTGAGGCTTTGGAGCTCCTAATCAAGTGCTCCTCAGGTTAGGAAAGCCCCATGGAAGTCGTTCTTTGCACAACCTTCTTGGAAAGCAGAATTCTGCTCACACGTGAGCTGATACTGTTCCAGTCTTGGCAGAAACTAGCAGGCTGTTTCATGTATAGTAGCAAACAACCTAATGAATGAGAACCCTCTGCAAAAAAATCTGCCGCTCTGCTGCAAGCAGTGAAAGATCAAGCAAATGCTCCTGCAGGTACAATAAAAGGCTGTTTTGATATGCTTCTTGTAATACCCATTAAACAAATTGCTGGCAGATGTACCCTTCCTGCTCGCTGATGCAATGTGGCTTTCACGGGAGGCACAGCAGAGCTCCAAGCAGCTGGATTTCCAGGAAATGGTCCTTCCTCCCCGAGCCCATGAGCGATGACTGCTGCTGGACGGTCTGTTCCTGCCAAGTCCCTGAGAGATTATAGTTCCCTGCCTGGGGACTGTCTGTAAACATCTATATACCCTTGAACAGCTCTGCACAGGCAGACTCTTGTCAGACCTGTATTTTCTATTCGCAGCTATCTGCCTGCTTGTGTGCTAGGTCTGCTCCATTCCCGCTGAGTAGCTATTGGGCAAAGTGCTTTTTTTGACAGAATAAAATATTAACCTGTTTCTAATGTTCTAGCATTTTTATGATTTATTTGTTGCTGGATTTATTTGTTGCTCTGTGTTTAACCAGGTGTTTTTTTTCTCTCTACTTTTCTTAGGCCTTCCTCAAACTTGCTCTGAGGACTTCCCTGAAATCTTACAATTGAATAGCCTAGATGCATGAAGACCACACATGTGGGGTGATACTCTGGCAAAAACTCGTCTTGGTAGCACTTAAAACAGCTAGCTCTTCAGGACCAAACACCTTGGAACGGATACAAGAAACAGAAGGACTGTGGTCCTAGACCTCGAATAACTGAAACCACATTCCCCTTTTCTAGGGAGCCTGGTTTGTGCATTTAACCTTCTCTTGATCTTTTGCACTCTGCATTTCCTTAAGCAGAACTGCAAATGAAACCTTTCACAGATCTAGACCTCAGCAATGATCTACTGGCCTGCCTGCTGGCAGAGCTGAGAAGACAACCATGTTAGCTGACTGTCAAACTGCAGGTGACAGAGCTGCCAAGAATGACATAGTGTCTACCATAGGGGTAACTGAATCCAATAGCACTAAGGGCTATGGGAAGATAAGACCACCAAGCATAATAAGTTTTGGGGGGAGTATCTTTAGGGGATAGAATAAGCACAATGTCACTTATCTTCAAGCTGTCCTTTGCTTATCCTAAAAATCAGTTACTGTATCTGGCTGATACTCAAATCTCTATAGGTCACCTTGTGGAGGAGCTCCATTCTCCCTGTATCTAGGGCAAAGAAAGATCCAGCTACCAACTGATGGTGCTGGCAGCTGCCCCAGTGGATGTCTGAACCAAGCATGTGTGTTACTGCAGACAGAGCTTTCTGTTAAGCTTTTTAAACTTTTTATTAAGGCAGCTGCCCATCTACTGACTATGGAGGAAGGTAATGAGCTGTCCTGTTTTGGGAGAATGTTGCATTGGTCCTCTTCACTACTGAGAACGTGTTTGCCTCTGCTCCAATGCTGCTGCAGTATCAGAGCATAGTTAAGACCTTATTTTAGGCAAAGTATTTAACTGAGCCAAACAGACAACCGTCCACCCTCATTGCTGCAATGTCCTAGCTGGATTACCCATGAACTTGGCTTTTTTGGAGTTGGGGATATGCTCAGCAGCTGTCCTGGCTGCTACAGCAAATAGGAGCTTGTTGGAGGTGAACTAGCTCTTTTTTTTTGGGGTGGGAAGAGGGATACTTGGTATAACAACTGAGACTGCACTTGAACTTTGCTGTGTGGAAAGGCAATCTCAAGCTGTGGTGCTGCCACATACATGGACTGAGCTCTGAAGACCTAGAAAGTCGTTTGATGCCTCTGGTTGTCTGAGGTTTTTTGGAGAACTTCAATCCAGGCAAAGCAAGCACATTTGGATATTTTAAATGGTTTTATGCAAAGGCTTCAATAAGCCTTTGGTAAGTATCTGTGACTTGTCACCGTGCCATGGGTAAAGTTGTTTCAAAGCCTTATTTTGTATATTGTGGTTTTTCTATGACTTAAAATATTATTTATTTCTCATGCTGTACATATGTAAAGTTTGAAACAGTTTTGAGTAAGTTTTTGTAAGCTTGAAGATGGAAAATAAAGCGCTTTGTGAGAATCAGTTAAGTCTTGTTGTTAAGATATATGCTATCCTGTGTCAGAACAGCACTGTATGCCCCTGTCATCTTTCTGCTGGTCTGCGGCCTGCAGAGGAAGGGACATGGAGGAGGAGCAGCGTTGGGGAGACTACAGAGCAGTAGGTGCCCTTAGCTGGTGAGCTCTTTCCAACCTTCTTGATGGTGGGATCTGGATGGGCTTGCTCTGCCCTCACTTAATGCTGAAGGAGATGAGAAGCCACCTCATCACGCTGCTGCTTATGGCCTTTAGTGCTCCTTGCTGGATGTGGCTGTCACCTCGGCTACCCGAGGTGTAGGGTAAGGAGCTGGATGCTGCTGCTGTTTTGGCAGGCTAGTCCAACAAGTTGGGACTGATTGCCCCTGCTTTCCCCTAGTGCATAGACTTCCTGCATTAATGTGGGCTTTTGTCTGTGTGTGTGTGTGTGTGTGTGTGTGTGTGTGGTTTTTTTTCTTTTTTCTTTTTTTTCCCCCTATCCCTAGACTGTCACTTTTCTGAAGTCTTTAACCTTGCCCTGACTTCCAGGGTTAGCCCAAGGGAGGCTACTTTGAGAGAACTTGCCAGAAGCTGAGCAGTGGCTCAGTCTTTCCCAGTTTCACTACCCCCTGCAGCAGCCACACTGTCACCTCTAAGGCGTATCAGCAGGAGAGGGGTCCTATCTGTGACAAGCTGGTGGCACCCATCCAGTGGCAGAAGGACTTTGCAAACAGAATAAATACCCCTGAGCTGTGAGAGATTTGCATCACATTACTTCATTAACCTTTTCCTGCAAGAAGACCGGCAAGGGCTGATTGTGAAGAAAGCTGCACTGATGGGGCTGGTGCTGCTCTGTGATGTGTTTCCACTGCCCAACTTATTCTGTGTGTCCGGGTGTTGTCATTCTGGGCATGTGCATGGACAGGCCCCTTTTCCAGCCTCCCCCACAGCAACACCAGAAGTTGGTGTTCCCTGCACTGCAGTTTATTCTGCCGCAAGATCCTCTCCTTTAACAGCGATGGCCTCATTGCATCTGCGGTGCTTCTGCTAGGACTGAGTTCCTGGTGAGAGCAAACAGACAGCTGAGATGGATGGGATTTTTGCAAGCTCCCTGGATGCTGCCGTGTGCATCTGCCTTCTGCACATTGCAAAGGGCAGGTTGCGAGTCCCGCACCCCTCTGCCAAGCCTGTGGTGAAAGAATCACATCAAGGCCAGGTCACTCGAGCTGCCCTCCCCCAGGGTTTTGGGAATAGCTTTTCCCTGGAGGCGCTGTTCGGGTGCACACACGCACAGGGTTGTGCTGTGGGTCAGGCTGTCTCCAGAGGAACAATGCGTCCCACATTGGGAATGCCTGGCAGCTGCTCCATGTCCCTTCCCGGGCATCCCTGTCCCCCAATGTCCCTCCAGCCCCGCGATCACAATCAGCATGCAGCGCTCCAGAGCAGCACACTTTGCCGGGATGCTTATTCAGGAGCTAGTCTGGGACAGAAAGATGAGTTGTTTTTTTTTGGAGGAACAAGAATTCGAGGCTTTTTCAGCAGTTCCCAGTGACGACATCACCTGGCAGCCCCGCTCCACCAGGAAAGGCCGGTTCCCAAGGGCAGCCTCCCCAGAAGGCGACTGCTGCTGCCCAAGGAACCCGAGCGGCTGCTCCACACACAGCCCTGCTAATGACTTGTAATTTTACGCCTGTTGCAAAGCTGACATTCCAACATAAATTATACAGCTCAGTGACTTCCAGGCAATGCCGGCAGCCCAGCGGCAAGCACAAAGCCCCTGGCACCTCCTTCAAGCCCCTGCGAAAATATTGGGAGACTTTGTACTGCACAGAAGGAAGGGCAAAGCCGCTGGATCCCAAACTGACCCATATTTAAAACTAAGACCACTTTATTTGCTCACTTTTTATACATACAGATACATATATGTTGCTTAACCTCTATTTTTTTTCTGGTGATTTGCAGCTTTTTCATGAAGCTTCAGGATTTAATGGCAAACCAGAAGAGGCAGAGCACAGAGGCTCTGCAGCCTTTTTTT